AGTTTCCCAGTGCTGAGACTTAACCCCTTGGCTCTTATTTTCCCCTTTTCCTTCCAGACTTGCCTGGCCCCTTCTGCTTCTTTCCTATGGGCCCCCACCTGGAGGTGTCATAAATTTGATGCAAGCTTTCCAGCTTCCAAGGCCTCGCTTTGGGGAGGGACATGGGACTTGGTATGACCACTGGAATTGTACCAAGGTGGTCCCCAGGAAAAGGGGAAGTTCCAGGTTCCCTGCCCCACCCAGAAGGAGGGTGGAGCTGAGCAGAGAAAAGGAGAGAAGAGAAGGAATCTGGGGAGGAAGGAAGCAAGATGTAGAGCCAGAAGGAGGCCTGAGGAAGCCACATGGATCAAAGGGAGGCATGTGAAGAAACCGTGTTTATTTCTTGGCCCTGGACTGGTTGAAAGTGATGTGGGTGAGAGACCGGTGGGGAGGCTGTCTATGGCAGTGTTTATATTGATTTTGATTTTGCTCTTTTCCTCCCAGACTTGTATGGTCATTTCTGACCCTTTTGTATGGCTCCCGGCCAGCAGGTGCTTTAGGCTTGTGGCAGCTTTCAGGCCTTACTTTGGGCCAATCCCTTTTGGGTTGACTTTTGCCCATGAGGGGATGGGTAACTTCAGATGTTTGATTAAGAAATTTTATTTTGTCTTCCGTATTGTATACTCACTGTATTAAAGCTCCCTTTCATTAAAGTCTTATATGTTTTGTCTTGGTGCAGTGGATGGCAGAACCTATTTAGAGCAGGCAGGTTTGGGGGTTCAGTGGTGCCCCTCTCTCCCTGCCCTGTAACAGAATGACACCGGAATGAAGTTGTATTAGTGTTAGAACCCAGTGTTAAAAGTGCCTTTCATCTTCTTGGACACTCCATGTTTTTGTTCTTAATGAAGTTTCTCAAATAAGCTCTTTTATTCCTATCTATGATTGCAGGCAGCTACAAAACCATAATATATGTGTTTACCTTAAAAAATTATTCATATAAAGCAGCAGTGATATATGCAACATGAAATGGTTCAGGTAGGGCCAGAAACAGTTTTCAATACTTCAAATATAAATGTGAAAATAAGGCTGAATGAAAGTCCCTGTCTATTTCTACTTCAGATGTACTGTGATAGCATTTTATGATGTCCTGTGTGTCAATTTTGTGTATGTGTACACATTCACAGGAAAAATGTGCACATATATGTTCACATGTATGTACATGTTCTGTGAGCATGTACACATATACCATACATCCTCTTTCCCAACATACACAGTCAATACTTGCAGTTTGGTTTGGGGCAACTCTAAAAGGCCCTTCCATATCGTGGTTTAAGTCATATTTGAACCTTTTTTTTTTTAATAAAATAGGGAAATAGCAGGGAATAAAATGTTTGGTTTGTGATGACTGAGTGACTGAGATTTCTTTGTTTAACTATACAGTGTGATGAATAATTTTCATTCTTAGCAGTTTGGTGAATGACTAACTTACTGTGGTTTTCATGAGGACACCTGGCAATAGAGTTAACTCTCACTCCAGAAAAGACTTAAGACATTTTTTTCCCATTTTGTCATCATCTTTGGAGTAACCAACTGTTTACTCAAGTTCCAATTTTTGGGAGAATTTTTGGCTACACTTCCCATATCTCATAAACAGAAAGACTCATTCCTGTGATATGACTTCATTCCTTCTACTCTACCCATCTGACACAGGGCCCATTGGAAAATCAGTGCTCGAGGTCCTGCATTCAATGCAGCATGCATGTTGTATGCAGAGCTGGTTGAATCTGCTGGGCTGGGCATGATGGTTATTCCTGGTTGCCCTCCACCTCCTGGAGGACCTACGTAATTCCCAGGAGGTGCTGAGGAATATGGTATGGAAACGGCATTTGTTGGGTTCAGCCAAGTTATACCATGACCTGAGCCCAAGTTCATTCCAGAGCACCTAATGCATTCAGTAGGGGGTCTTGTTGCACCTCAAGTTCTGTGGTCCTAAGGGCACCCTTCCTTTTGGAAGTGGCATTCTTGGCATTGGTCCACCCATATTTGGATGTTCTTGCTGTAGAGTTGGGTTCATTCCATTGGAAAGCAAGGACTGACTTCCTGGGACTCCACAAGTGCTTGTTTAGATATCCTCAGTTGGGCTTTTGACCTCCAGGACACTGAGGGGACTGAAAAGGCTGACAGAATGCTGTTGTTACAGGATCTTCTGATATGCCATCTCCTGGGGGGATGTTTCTTAGTGTTGACTAGAAGCTGCTGCAGCACTGTAATCATGAAAGTCTTGCTTTACTTGAATGTTCACATATTTCCTGTCTCCTTGGAGATTCACAATAAAGATCCCAGAAGAGGGCCCTCCCTGGTGGCACAATGAGTTATCAGCACTATCTCGCTATCTGAAGCCACCGCAGCACAAGTTCAATTCCTGGTCAGGGAGGTGACCCACATGACACAGCAGATTTCTCCTGATCCTCCCACTGCTCCCCTCAGCAGGGTATTTCAGTTAATCTGCCTGTTCTGCTCCCCACTTTGTCTCTTATGAATTCTCTCACCACCACCCCCATACCTTGGGCCTGTAACCCAGTTCTGTATGCATAAATAAATCTTAAAAAGAGAGAGAGAGAGAGAATCCCAGAATACACATTACCAAGGGTGTAAGAATACTGGTGTTTCCTCCAATGTGGCATTGTTTTCCCATCTTATAGCTGATAAAAATATTTGGATCAATATCTGAGCTCCCACATGAAGCAGGTAGTCATATACGTGAAGTGCTAACCTGGCCTGTTTTTCTAGCCTTAGTCAGGGCCCTAGAATTCCTTGAAAGGCATCCATCTTTCTGTCCCTCAAAAATAGGCCTGCAGAAGTTCAACTACTGATGAATTGTATGTGCTGTAAGTGAGGCCACTGGACTGTTCTTTTGTTCTGAGTTGTTTCTGATTGCATGCTCATGAATAAGCCCAGATAAGGCCAGTAAAAGATCCAGTCAACCATCCCACAGAATTGTGAGGGAAAAACATATTACCATGGTTGCGTGTGTTGCAGCAATAGATAACCACATACTAAAGAGGTATTCCTCTCTTCCATGAAGATGGGGTTTTATTACAAATTACCTTTCTTTTTGTGCATGTATCTCCTCACAAATACCAGATTGCAATGTCTTGATTGATCTCAGATTCTTTCTTCTAAAGTACCATGCACAGAACTGTAGAAATTAGGTAATGAGTCCATTTGCAGAATAACAAAGGCTTCCATGGTAATTCAAGTTTCAAAGTAACTTTCACAAGTTCCCTTCAGCACTAAAGCACTTAGCCACTAACGTCCCTCAACCCTGTCCCACACGTGAATAGAGGCTAGTTTGGCATTACACAGGATTTGTAACAGGTATCTATGCCAGGAGTATTCCCTCACACCTTTCCTTTAGTGCCTTAAATACCTGTCAGAACAGTCTTCCTATTATTTAACCTTAACTTCTCTAGTCATACATTCTTATATTTAACCTATGATGAAAACAAGAACCCAAACTACAACTGAAAAAAAGGCGATTTCATCCTTCCCTCCAGGATTCTTGGTACAATATCCAATTTCCCAATTTCCCTTCTCTTCCATGTTTCTTTCTTTCTTTTTTTTTTTTAAGACTTATTTATTTGTGCATACAGAACTGGGGTACAGGCCAGAGGCACAGGTGTGGTGAGAGGAAGCAGAACAGGCAGATTGATGAAGTACACTGCTGAGTGGAGCAGCTGGTGGGTCAGGAGAGGTCTGCCGCGCCATGCGGTCACCTCCAGGCAGTCAGGGATTGAACTCAGGCAGAAGTGGCTTTAGCTTTTTAGTGCTGTGCTTTAACCCGCTGCAGGGCCCCCATGTTTCTTTTCTGTGACTTTTGTTGTTGTTGTTTATTTGCTTTCTTATGATGCTTTTCTTTTGTTTCATTTTCCCCACTTTTTTTTTATAAAGAAAAAATTAGATTTAATAAATATCAAATTTGGCTTTGGTGAGCATGGGGTAGATTTGCAAAATGATAGGTTTTGAAATATATGTGTAACTAAGGAACAAAAATAATGAACACTTCTACATTCCAGAATAAACCTCCAGTGTGCCAGAAAGCACAAGTGTGATCCGAGTTCCTATAATCACCACCCCTTCCACATTTAATGTTCCCTTAGTTCTTTGTCTGTGGGGCTTACCTGGAGGACAGCGATTAGCTTGTGAATAGAAACTGACCTGTGAAAGCCGTGTCTAAAAATCAGAACCTGCCTCTGAGGCAGTCATAAATGCTGGGATAGAACTTATTATTATTATTTTTTTAAAGATTTATGTATTTGTGCATATAGAACAGGGGTGCAGGCCAGAGGCTCAGGGGCGGTGAGAGGCTTCACCAGAGACAGAGTGGGGAGCAGAAGAGGCAGATCAACGAAGTACACTGCTGAGGGGTGCAGCGGGCAGGTCAGGAGAGGTCTGCCACGCCATGTGGTCACCTCCTGGGCAGGCGGGAATCGAACTATCGAACTCATGCGGCAGTGGCTTTAGATTCTCAGTGCTGTGCTTTAACCCGCTGCGCCACCAGGGAGGGCCAGAACTTATTATTTTTTAATAAATATTTAAATAATATTATTTATCTAAACTACTGGGGGCAGGATGCACTTTCTTCAATGTTAGACTCAGCGGAGACGATTTTAGTTAAACTGGTCATGGAACTTACAATTGTTTTTTCAATCCTTTCTTTGACTTTCCAGATGTAAGTTTGCACTGCACTATGATGTGGGGAAAACACAACCGTGATGCCGGGAGAGGGAAGGTCAGTGGTGCCCAAAAGGCTGGTTCAGAGGTTACTGACAGGCACCCAACGTTCTGCTTTGGTTTCTGGAAAGGCTTAAAATAGTCTATTCCGAAGGGTTCTTGGAGAAAAGGCAGCAACTCCAGCATTATTCTCAGAGAAGTCACCCCTAGTAGAAGAAAACTGAAACCTCGCTGTTATCAGCAACCAGATGTTTTCCTTCAAGCTGGAAACACCTCCCTTTGACCTCCCTCTACATTCTCTTATAACAACGGACCCTTCCCTTCTGTACTTGCTTAACTAAGGGAAATGGCTTCAGTTGCACTATAAAACAATTAAGATCTCTTTAAAGTTCATTCACTTTGATTACCTTTAATCTCAGAATAAGTTACACACCCTAAACTTTACAGTTAAAGAGTAATTTATTACTCTTTCTATAACTGTTTATAACTCAATCAAAATCACTTACCAAGCATATGTGTTTAGGAATGGGGTCATTAATTGAATGGGCATCCGTATCTCCCAATGATAAGGACAGGCTCATGAAAAGATAGATCTCGTAATTCACCGGGTGGGGAGAAGGTGGAGTGTGTAGCGCAGTTTTCTGGAAAAGTCAGTCTAGTGTTCTGTTCCAGAATGGTGTCCTGCGAGAAAGGCTGACGTTGACAAGTTTTAATTCATTTCCTCTTGGTACAGCTTTCCCCTGGCATTTTATAGGCATTTCTTTGAGAAGATAACTGTCACTGCCATTTCTCTTCATCTAGCTCAAAAAAGCCCAAGTTTTCGCACTCTTTCTTGCCTGCCGCGCCCCGTTCCAGCGCTAGGCTCGGGCCAATGAAGTTGCACCCCAGGAATCACACAATGAGGAAAGACAAACCAGCGAAATGAGACAGTCTTTTATTAGAACCGCAGAGAGGAAGGCTAGTCTTTGAGTGGCATCTCTAGACCAATAGGGAGCTATGACCGTGCACCCACTCTGGACGGTAACTGGACCCGCGGCTGCCCTAGACACGTGACTGGTGAGCCGAGGGGGCGCACCCCACCTCCTGAGCTGCAGGTAGCGCGATGTACCACGCTTCCAATGGCTCGCAGACTCTCTCGTCACGTGCAGTTCTTGCAAGTCCAAGGCCTCCGGAAGGTCATATGACAGTTGACGTTAGCGCCTCGCTGTCCAATAGAAAAGAAGGGCTTCCCTCGCAAGACCAGGAATTGGTTTATTTCCACGAATACTGGCACGGGGGTGGGCGGGGACAGCCTATCACGTGCCGAGAGACGGAATTGGGCGGGGCAGGCCACTGGTTGCGGGGCGAGCTGGGCGCGCGGCGCGCAGGCGCCCTGGGGACCCGGTAGCGGCGGCGGCGGCGGCTGCGGCGGCGGCAGCGACCAAGGGGGCCGGATCCTTGATTCAAGGGAGGCGGCGGTGGCGGCCATGGCGGCAGACGGAGAGCGATCTCCGCTGCTTTCCGAACCCATCGACGGTGGCGCCGGCGGCAACGGATTAGTGGGGCCGGGCGGGAGTGGGGCTGGGCCTGGGGGAGGCCTGACCCCCTCCGCACCTCCATACGGAGCCGGTAAACATGCCCCGCCCCAGGGTAAGCCCGGGCAGGTCCGAGGTGTTCTCCCGGGTACTCTGAGAGGCGGGGCGGGGGCGGGGCCGAGGGCGGGGCCCAAGTGGCAGGTGCGGAACTGGAGTACCTGTGACCGGGTGAGGCTTCCTTCCCTGCGCAGTGGCAACCCGAGCTTGGGTGTAGGAGTTTCTGAGGAAGCCAAGAAAAGCACGAATTTTGAGAAGCCCGTCGAGCTTGGTTAGAGAGGTTGAGGAACAGAAAGTTCCCTGATCCTCAGAACCGTCCGTGGGGGTGCCTGCAAGGAATGCCAATACTTTTTTCCACCTTCCTCTCCAGCATTTCCCCCGTTCTCCGAGGGCCACCCAGCCGTGTTGCCTGGGGAGGACCCTCCCCCCTACTCATCCCTGACCAGCCCGGACAGTGGGAGCGCCCCCATGATCACCTGCCGAGTCTGCCAGTCTCTCATCAACGTGGAAGGCAAGATGCATCAGCATGTAGTCAAATGTGGCGTCTGCAATGAAGCCACTGTGAGTGACACATATCTATGAAATGGGCCCTATTTTCTGGATTCCAATTCCGATCCCTTGATTCTAGACCCAGACGTTAGCCATGTGCTGTTCCTGAAACCCAGTTTTCATCCAGGAGTTTCACACATCCATTTCCTCAGCTGCCTCCCACCAAAGCTTATGTTTACCGTCCTAATACCTACCCTGGATACTGAAGTTTAGCTTTCATATGCACATCTCATGTTTCATTTCATTTTATGTCCTGGCTATGGCCTCATCGTTCATCTCTCAGAAGGTGTTTTGGAGGAGATGGTAGGGGTTAGGTTATGGGTTTGCTTATAATTGTCCTCATTCTTTAGCCAATCAAGAATGCACCCCCAGGGAAAAAATATGTCAGATGCCCCTGTAATTGTCTCCTTATCTGCAAAGTGACTTCCCAGCGGATTGCCTGTCCTCGACCCTACTGGTAAGAGGCATGAAGTGTATATGATGGGGGAGGGCATCTGAGGACTACTGGAAAGCAAAAAAGGATGACTGTATATAGAGAATGTAAAGGTGAAAGGGAAGTTTTTTGTGTGTGTGTTTTTAAGCAATCTTTTAAAGTTTTTTGTTTTGTTTTGTTTGCCCACTGTGCAGCAAAAGAATCATCAACCTTGGGCCTGTTCATCCAGGACCTCTGAGTCCAGAACCACAACCAATGGGCGTCAGGGTCATCTGCGGACATTGCAAGAATACGTTTCTGGTGAGGAGGGGTATAAGGAAGTCCTGAAAACAAAGCTAGGTGTCATCTTGAACTTACGTCTGAGTTACAATGGTAATTTAGGAAATCCTAAAAAGGTCTGTCCTGCGGAGATCTGTTTCCCACCCCAGGGCTCTGTTGAAGATGACTCTGCTTTTCCTTATTCTTTCTCCATAGTGGACAGAGTTCACAGACCGAACCCTGGCACGTTGCCCTCACTGCAGGAAAGTGTAAGTGATCAGAGTGGCATGGTTGAACTGGTTATTGGGTAATGTACAGACTAAAAACTATAGAGCCATTGCAAACATTCATTTCTGATTGCTTCCCCACAGGTCATCTATTGGGCGCAGATATCCACGAAAGAGATGTATCTGCTGCTTCTTGCTTGGCTTACTCTTGGCAGTCACTGCCACTGGCCTTGCTGTGAGTAACTGTGATATGGCCTCTTTCATTCTTTAGCCTTATTGTTGTAGGCAAAGATGTGAGAAATGGCTACTCTAAGAAAAAAAGTGAAAGAAAGCAGAGGGGTTCTTGTTTTAATGTATAGATGAAGTTGAAGGTACCTAGTAAGTCTTCATTGTCACTGTAGGGATAATTTAAATAAACTGCCATCTTTTAGTAAAAGATAGGACACTGAAGTGGCTTCATTACTGTTAGGAAACCTGGCTCAGTTGTCAGACCTTGACACGTCTGCAACTGTATGAGTGTGTTCCTATGTAGGGGAAATGAGTTGAACTATGGGGCCTTTACTCTCTGTCCCAATAGTGACTACACGTGGGGAGGAAACAGGAACAGAGGCTCAAGTTGTATGTTACTGTAACTCCAGGTACAAGATGAAAAGTAACCCCTTCTTTTTCTCTCTCATCTTCATCAGTTTGGCACATGGACGCACGCACAGCGATACGGAGGCATCTACGCAGCCTGGGCATTGGTCATTCTGTTGGCTGTGCTGTGTTTGGTTCGGGCCCTCTATTGGGCCTGTATGAAGGTCAGCCACCCTGTTCAGAACTTCTCCTGAGTAACATGAAGACCTACAGACTGTGCCTGGCCTCTCCCTGGTGGGGACAGTGACACTACAAAGGGAGCCATGGTAAAAGGCTCGCTGGGCCTCTACATGGGAGCCAAGGAGCTGCCTTCCTTTTCCCTGGGGAGAGGTGAGAAGGAACCAGGCCCTCACCTAGGTTTGGAGGGTTAGATAAGACCACTGCTGGCTATCTGCTTTCCTCCAGGGGTTGCTGTTTAGGGTGAAGTAGGTGAAATGTTGCCCCTAAACCTGGATCCTAAGACGGTTCTGCCCTTGTCCTTCCTATATGCTCCCTGAGCCATTCCTGTCCCTTACACATTCCAGGGCAGGGTGGGGGTGGGTAGCCCTGGGGGTTTCCCTCCCTCTTGTGCACCATTAGGACCTTGCTGCTGCTATTGCACTTCACCAGGGGCTGGTTCTGGCCTCAGTACCCTTTTCCCCCATTCTGTGTCCTGTGGGAGTGGGGTCAGCCGCTGCTCTGTACAGAACCACAGGAACTTAACGTGTATATAACTATTTAATGTGGGGTATGTTCCCCTAGTCCTGTATTTCCCTTGGTTCCTCCTTCCAACTTTGTATCCCAGTTGCAGTATTTAACTAGACTGGGTATCAGGGTTGCTGTGTCTTGGGGGAGGTTAGGGGCTCATCCTGTGCTTGTAAATAAATAAGGTCATGACTACCCTTTTCCAGTTGTTAATCTGTATGTATGAAAAGAGGGGAATTTGGAATCCCAGAAAGGGGCAGAATACAAAGACAGCAACGCTGAAACTATGGCTTTTTATTTTTCACACAGACATTTCAAAGGAAGTTATCAGTAGCTTGTGTTTAATGTAAAAAAAGAAATTCACACAGAAAAAGAAAAATTTGGGCTTAAGGAAATCTAAGTCTTCACTAGGAGCCTAGTTCAAGAATTTATGTTTTTATAAGGGATTAACAGTGTAGACTTTTTTTAGACAGCAGTTTTTAAAGAAGTTTGGGAAGTAAGAGGTTTTAAAGCTAGTTTTAGGGGGTATATTTCCCAGGCCCAAAGTGATCTGGAGGAGGTGTCACAATGCTAGGTATAGGGTGATTGGACAGTGGTCACTGCCAAGGGCCTTGGAACGGATCTTGCTGTCACACAATGCAGGTAACAGAGAGTGAGACAGCAAAAAATAATCAAGGCGCCAACCAACATTTTTGGATCGAGCATTCATCATGTAAGTCCAGAAGGTGTAGGCGTAGGCAGTGTCAGGGTAGAGGTGCCGGAAGCTGTCGGTCAGTGGCACAGCCTGCAGCAGTTCTCCAAAGCCTTGCCGCTCTTGTGGAGTAAAACCTGCATTCTTTTTGTTTCCCTTGGGGTTGCGTAGGTCAATTTCTTCGTGAGCCACATTGAGGTCCCCACATAGCACAAGGGGTTTGCGGGAAGCTAAGCCCTTCAGGAACTTTCGAAAGGCTTCATCCCAACGTTGCCGGTACTCCAGGCGCACCAGACCCCTGCCTGCATTAGGTACATAGGCTGTTACCAGCACAAATGTGTCAAATTCGGCCACAATCACCCGGCCTTCCTGATCATGTTCCTCTTCACCTACAGAAATAATAAAACAGAATCAGCATAAAGTGTAAAAGAAAGCAAGAAAATAAAATTGAGAACTGATAATAGGAATGGGGCAATTAACTATTGGTTTGGAAGAGCTCAGGCCTTATGAATCAATAGGGTCTCACCAATGCCATAAGAGACTTTGAGTGGGCACTGGCGGGAGAGCAGGCCCACACCACTGTATCCCTCCTTGTCTGAAGGAGCCGACCAATACTGATGGGACAGTCCAGAGAGCTCTTGAAGTTCAGTAGGCAGTTTGTTTTCTGAACATTTGGTCTCTTGGAGGCACAGGATATCAGGAGCTTCTTCCTTTACCCACTAGGAGTGAAATATAAGGTGGAAAAAGTACAATCCATTATTTAACAGTATGTTAACTACAAGTGAGACACAGGTAAGACAGACCCTGTGTAAGGAGTTCAACAATCAGCAGAATACTTATAAATACGTAACTATTGTAAAGCTATAAGAAAGTCTTATGTAACACTGAGGGATTTTTGTTTACATTGTGGGTAGCCCTGTTAAAAGAGTTTTGAGCAGTAGTTATTTAACTGGATAGTTGTTATTACAGATAACATGGAAATAAGCCAGAATGGAGAAGAGACATTAAAACTATGGCAGCAGGAACAAAGGAATGGACGATTAGGAAATACAAGTGGCAGACTTGGTGAATCCTGATTTCTCCACTTCTCTCAAGAAAATTAGACTGGGAAAAAAAGAAAACCCTACATGCTGGGGCCTAAAATATAAAATGTTGATTAAACTCCATTATCATTCAAATAATACTAAAAACTCCCTCCTGAATTCCACTCACATCTAAACCCTTCTTCTTAATCCAGGCTCGAAGCCCATCCACATTCCAGGAGCAGATCTTGATTGTGGCTGATTTGCCACTCGGTGAGGTTTTCTGATCCGGGGGGTCTTCATACAGAATTGGCCCCTCGCCAGCAGCCTCTTTTTCGTTCTTCTTTGCTCCTGCCTTACTCTTCTTGGCCTCTGGCTCTATAGAAATGAGTAATAAATGGGTAAAAGTTGATGAGTTTCCAACTTTGGTCCTGAGTTAACTATTAGATCCACTGAGACCCCACAGAAGCAGTAACCTAATTTACAAATTTCAAAAACGTGTTTGGTTGTAATTCCAGTTCACACAAAGAATTAACGCTGCCTCTAGGGAAGATTCATTTATTAATAATTCTTACCAGTTTTGGGCTCTTCCCCATCTTCTGCCACCGCTCCCTTTTTCCCACGCTTCGGCATCACTGTAACGAACGCCTTTTGGCACCTACTCCACGTTGCCCACCGAAACAATAATTTCAACACTTGACCTAGAGGTAAACAAATGAAAACTGATAAGCTGAGCTAGAGAAGTCTCTGCCCTCCGGCACCGGCACTAGGTCCCGCCTTTCAAATCGCAAGATCGCTAAGCCCTTTCCCCGCCTCCAGTGCACCACAGGCCTTTAGCCCCTCACCCGCAAAACTAGATCATTTCATAATGCCCAGTACTCCTGGCGAGACTTGCCTTTCCGCCAATGTGGGCTCAATATTAAGGTCTTGGGCTTAGATGCGGATGATAAATACAGCAAAGCCCCTCTGATAAGCAAAATAATAGCAACCCGTACCAGCCCCGATCCGCTCCAGCCTGACTCCTCCTTACCCCAGCACAAAGAATGGAGCACGCTGTGTCCCCACGTGGGAGAGTGGCGTCGTCACGTGATCTGAGTCACGCGCCACGTGGCGGCGGAACGCAAGCGATTGGTCTGTCTGGTACCACGTGACGGACAAGGTCGGCCTCCCTCCCTCTCCGAGTCGCCAAGGCCCCACGCTTCCATTCTCGGGCTGTGTGTCGCTATGCCTGACCCAAGACTCATCCTGTCACCCCGACAGAAGAGCTCCGCGCCGAGAAACAGCGCCAGAAGTCAGTGGACACAGCTGGCTGGACCTCTGCAAAGAGGCAGAGGAACTGCTAGGAGCTTGAGGGGCAGATGCCCGCTCAGCGCACAACGGCAGCTACGAGGACAACCTTGAGGGGGCCTCGACGGTTCGGAGGATGCCGGGGGCGGGGCCAACGCGGGCTCGCCCGTCGCGGGCGTTTTATGGCGTCCGGTGCGTGCGGCTAGGTACCTGGTTCAGCCGCTCCGCTGCCCTTTGCGCGCCCGGGAGTCTGTGGCCGGACCCCACTGTTGCGCGCTGCACAGTGCCGTTGGTAGCTGGGAGGTCTGCTGGCTTTTTCTCCCGGCTCGGCCATGCCAGCCGTGCTGGGGTTTGAAGGTAGCGCCAACAAGATTGGCGTGGGAGTGGTGCGGGACGGCGCGGTGCTGGCCAACCCGCGGCGGACCTATGTCACGCCACCGGGCACCGGTACGTGAGTAGGGACCGAGCGTCACCTTCCTCTTCAGAGGGTAGTGCCTGGACCCCTTTGTCCCCCAGAGCTTTGCATCCAGTCTCTCAGATGATGGGACAGTATTAACGTCTCTAAGTTAAGGGATAGCGGAGTCACAAACCCTGGAAGTTTTATGGGTTCGTCCAGGTTTTCCTTGGCGCCTTTGAGATACTAATCGTCAACTGGCTGCTGGATACAAAAAACATATAAAATAAAATAAAAGATAAAACCGATGAAAATAAGACCTGCTATGAAGTTGAACATATAGAACTTAACATAAGTGGTTTTTTTCACTTAGGTGCAATCAGAATACCTTAGGATTTAGGTGTCAGAACTGAATGGTTTTGCAGCGTTCAAATCCAGTATTTATGTTTCTGGAATTCTGTTTTTCTACCTGTAAAATGGGAATTATATCTCTGCCATGTTACGGAATCTTTAGAATTAAGTGAAAACTACTAGACACATCGTTGTAACTTTTCATAAGTTTTATTTGTGAGCTATTAATTTGTCTGCCCTGGCCTCCTCCCCACCAGTACTTGCATACAAATGAGGGGGAAGCTGAGTTGCATATACCTGAAAAGCCTCCCTAAACATCATGTTTTGAGTTGTTGTACATTAAAAATGTTTGCTACCAGGGAAACAATAAAATAGTCAATGAGGGCCCTCCCTGGTGGCGCAGTGGGTTAAAGCTAGCTAGGAAGCTAGCCGCAGCCACTTCATGAGTTCCATCCCCAGCTAGGGAGGTGACCTAAGTAGAGAGCAGACTTCTTCTGATCCGCCCGCTGCCCCCCTCAGCCGTGGACTTTTGTCAGTCTACCTGTTCTGTACCCCACTCTGTCTTTGGTGAATCCTCTCACTTTCCCTGCACTTCTAGTCTGTATGCATGAAAAAAAGTTGATGTACTAATGGTTAACTAGGGGAAACTAAAAATAATTACATTGCAACACTTGCGTTAAATAAGGTGGTGCTATCATTGGGTTCTGTAGGGTCACTTAGAATGTGAAAGGCTATGAGGTGGCTGTCACTTATATTGTGTTCTGAAAGCTGAAATGGAGTTGGATATGAAAGAGTATAGCAGAATAGGCCAGAAAGAATTCATCTGAAAACCTAGAAGGATGCTTGAGGAGAGTGAAAGAGACTCTTACTAATTTATCAAAAGGCTTGTTGTAAATTCTACCAATCTTTGCTATAGAGAGACCCTTGGATAGCTCATCTGTGTCCATCTCTTAGGATTCCTTCCAGGTGATACTGCCAGGCACCACCGAGCTGTTATCCTGGACCTTCTGGAGGAGGCATTAAAAGAGGCTGGATTAACCTCCCAGGATATTGATTGCATTGCCTATACAAAAGGTACTACTGGGACAGTGGTGGTCACCAGTGGATGACTGTACCTGGAGCCTGACTGGGTCAAAGTAGACTGACTGCCTCTTGCCTCTGCTGCTGCCACTACCTCTACCCCCCTCTCCCATTCCCTGCTTCTCCCCCAGTTTTGTTTTCCTCAATGTCTAGGATTCTAACTCCTATTTCTACCTGTGTAGGGCCTGGCATGGGTGCTCCACTGGCATCTGTGGCTGTTGTGGCTCGTACCGTAGCCCAGCTGTGGAATAAGCCATTGTTGGGTGTGAACCATTGTATAGGCCACATTGAGATGGGCCGTCTCATCACTGGAGCCACCAACCCAACCGTGCTGTATGTCAGCGGAGGCAATACCCAGGTATTTAGAAGTACTGCCATTTCTTCTTAATTTATGAGGCGCCCACCATACAAGCAACTTTCTTGTCCTACCTTAGTGTCAGGAGCTGTAAGAATAAAGCTGGGCTTCTGTGAACCTAAAATGTTGTAAAGCAGACAACCTATAACAAAGTTTGTAATATTGCAGATTTGACCTAGATAATGAGAACATAACACGTGTTCATGTTTATGGCTATAAAAATTAGGAATTTCGAGTTTAGAAAAGGAAAGAATGGTAAAGATGGAAGCCTTCAAAATACTGAAAGCAATTTCATTTTCACTATTTTGAAGCTTTTTTCCTTACAGATCTTAGCTAACATCAAGGGACACTATTTAATTTGTCTCTAGAAGATAGGTACTTGTTTTTATATTACTGGTGGTCAGTATATCAAAGTTGATAATTCCAAAAGTATAGAAAATACAAATAAATTTTTTTTTTAAGATTTATATTATGCACACAAGAACTGGGGTACAGGCCAGAGGTGGGAGGGCAGAGAGGTGGTGGTGAGAGATTTCACCAGAGACAAGAGTAGGGAGCAGAACAGGTAGATGTATTGAAATGCACTGCTGAGGGGAGCAGTGGGCAAGTCAGGAGAGGTCTGCCGCACCATGTGGGTCACCTTCTCCAGCTGGGGATCGAACTTGTACTGCAATGGCTTCAGACAGCTTCATAGTGTTATGTGTTAACCCCTTGCGCCACCAAGAAGGACCCATAAATACAAATAATTTTAAAACATAAATGTTAGAATGTATTTCAAGTTGATAAGGTGAAGCCAAAATTGGGGATACCCTATGAGTCTTTTTAAAGTTGAGATTGAAGAATCCTAGCCTTCCTTTCCCATGGGATAGCTGATGGAATTGTCATCAGAAATAGTCATTGTCCTCAGCTTATGAAAGGATCATACTCTAAAGCTCCATTTTGTGAAATTATTGTTAATGATGAAGTTGTTGTTGATGAAGTACACACCCCATGACCACTATGTGGGAATTTGATCGGATCAAGACCAGATAGCTAGTTGAGGTCTGAAGGATGACATACAAGCTTAGGGGTATGGGGAATAGCAGTGGATAATACAGGAGTTAGTGAAAGAAGAAAAACTGAGAATTTTCTCTGTTTTTCTTCTTTTTGAAGCCTAATTAGGTGTAAAAAAAAAAAAAACATGGAAGGTGATTGGGTAGAAAGGAGTGGATAAGTAGAAAGTGGAGTGGGTAGAGAAGTAGAAAGGCAGGATTTCCCTTTCCCCTTTTGTTGCCAACCTTTTGACAGAATGTGACCTACATCAGAATGGAAGGAAATCCCTGGCAGCTCTAGATTGGGAAAGGAATTCTGGTCCCTAGAGAGCAGTCACGGTCCGCAGTATGGTGTATGTGTGTCAGTGAATGACAGCAGTTGGTCCTGTTTGAAGAATGGACATATCATTGATAGCCTGGGCTAAGTGCTGTATTAGTCTGACCCAATGTGGGATTTTTGAGTTACTTATTTCTGCTTCTAATTTCCAAATACTCATGCTCTAGTAGAATAATCTAGGTCTCTGGTTTCTTGCCTTCAGTCAAGAAAACCTTTTCCTGTTTGACAGCGTCAGGCCTGCTTTTAGCGGAAATGTGGGGAAACCTGAAGTCAGAAAAATGTGTTTGAAATGATAGCTTACTTCTGCCCTGCCCTAGATTCTAGACTATCATATAAGATTAAGAATCTGCTCTGGTGATCACAGAGCGAGCCATGGCACATTGCGGCTCCCAAGAGGCCCTCATTGTGGGAGGTGTTGGCTGTACATATATATAGGCTTATCAGATAAGAACTATAAAAAGATTGTCTGTTCAGGGAAGTGTTTTTAATCCATTTCTTATTGGAAGCCCTGGTGGCCGTGTTGATCCTCTTCCCCAAAGCCAAATACTCCTCTTTACAGACTTGAGGTTTCATGGACATCCTCATCACCCTTAGGTGATTGCATACTCAGAACATCGCTACCGCATCTTTGGGGAAACCATCGATATTGCTGTGGGTAATTGTCTGGATCGTTTTGCTCGAGTGTTGAAGGTAAGCCATCAGGACTGCAGAGACTGTAAGATGTGGGTGAATTTTGGGGGAACCATGGAGGGATAAACAAATTAACCTCTTTTGCTTCCTGGATGTCTTAATTCATCCTCTTCTTCCTTTTGCTAGATTTCCAATGACCCCAGTCCAGGCTACAATATCGAACAGATGGCAAAGCGGTAAGGGGCCCTAAGGAGGAAGGAGGTTGACTGGTGGGCTTCAGAGTGATTTCCATGCACGTGTGTGTGTGTGTGTGTGTGTGTGTGTGTGTGCCCATATGTGTGAGTGTGCGTGTGAGGTTTGGGAGGGACTTTGGAGGGTGAGTAGACAGCTAACTACAGGCTTAGTGTCTCATATACTCTCTCACATAGAGGCAAGAAGTTAGTTGAACTGCCATACACTGTGAAGGGGATGGACGTCTCATTCTCGGGGATCCTGTCTTTTATTGAGGTAAGTGCAGGAGAGGTGAAGGGATGAGCACTTTCATGCTTTTTTATGCGGCATATCTTTTGTTTACCGTTGTTTTCCTGCATATAGCATGGTACTGGCCCATATTAAATCATCAGTGAATTTACTTAGCAAATGTTTATTGAACATTTTCGGTGTGTCAGGTACTGTTCTGGACAATAGTGGTACAACGTGGAGCAAAATAAAAATCCCTGCTTTCATGCAGCTTACATTCTTATGAGATAAAATAACAGAAACCTGAAAAAGAAAAAGGGGAAAATAGTTAAATATAAAGGATCATATGATGATCAGAAAAATTAGAAGGGCAAGTGTTGGGGTGCCAAATTCAGAATTATTGACTATTCTGTAGCCTAGTGCCAGTGTGGTATAGGAGTTCTGGTAAGTTGAATTATTGTGAAACGTCATGGTTCTCCAAGTTCATGCTGTCCCCAAATCACTATTCTGTTCGTTCTTCCCTTGAATTTTAGGATGTAGCCCAGCGGATGCTGGCCACAGGCGAGTGTACCCCTGAGGATCTGTGTTTCTCCCTGCAGGTAATAAATTAAAAAGTTGCAACAGAAAGTTTGGGGCGGGATGAGTGTGTGTATAATAGAGCAGCACTGATTTGGGATTTTACCTTGTTTGCCTTGCACAGGAAACCGTGTTTGCAATGTTGGTAGAGATCACAGAGAGAGCCATGGCACATTGCGGCTCCCAGGAGGCCCTCATTGTGGGAGGTGTCGGCTGTATGTATCATTGAACCCTGTTCCTCTTTCCTTTTCTTGGGCCTGTGCATCTTCCTCCTGATACTCTAAATCTCCAGGGATTTGGGGAAATCATTAGTTTCATGTCTCTTCCTATACTGGGAACAGCCCAGTTCTAGCCCCTAGCTCCTCCTGCATTCTCCAAAGTGCACAAGAGGTGTACAGCTGGGCCATGAAGCCACGGCTAAAACTATGCTAACTTGACCCTGCCTCCTCGTAGGTAATATCAGGCTACAGGAAATGATGGAGACAATGTGCCAAGAACGTGGAGCCCAGCTTTTTGCCACAGATGAGAGGTAAAGGCCCCTCCCTTTCTTGAGTTCTCCTTTTTTCCCTTAAGCAAACTATAATCCCCCAGCCTTAGAGCCCATGTTGCAAATCTCTTTTCCTTCCAGATTTTGCATTGACAATGGAGCCATGATAGCCCAGGCTGGTTGGGAGATGTTTCGGGCGGGACACAGGACCCCCCTCAATGAGTCTGGCATTACACAGCGGTGAGTGTCCCCATTGAGGGACTAGATAGGATGATTCACGAGGTAGGCAAAAATCAGGCAGAAATAGAATCATAAGGCTAGAGAAGAAAGGAAGATTCTAAAGGCAAGCCATCCATCAAGCTCTTTCTGTTTTCTTCAGGTATCGGACAGATGAAGTAGAAGTGACCTGGAGGGATTAATGAGGTCAATAGGACTGGCGTAGAGAATGCCCTGAGCAGAGCCCAAGGCCCTCTGGGTATTAATCGCTGTCCTGATGTGGGAGTCCTGGCGGGCCTGTTGGCTCTCCCATTGTTAAACCTGTTGTTGATGATTAACAATAAAATATTTTTGGTTTTGTATGCTGGTAACTGGCTCCAATCTTTCGTACTAACAAGCATTACTTCCACTCATTTTTGTCCTTTCGGTGTTCCTTTTCCTATCTCTCAAACTCTTGTGCTCTCTGAACTAATCACCAGTCATTAGCAAAATTCTCCATATCCTTAGCCTCTTCTTGAAATGTTCCCTTCATAGTCCTACTCCGAGCCCAGATTTCTCCCAGGGACCCTCCCTGCTTTTCCCCCTAGAGTCCAAGGATGTTACTCCCCTTCCACTGACTTTATCTCCCATAGTGTTTATTTCTTGCCTCCAGCTAAGTTTCAGTTATAAGCATTTGTTGCAAGCATCTCAGTTTTCAACCTGCCTTTCTCTTGTTTTTCTTGTACTCAACTCTTTACCTCCTTTTTATAACTAAACCTATGTAGCTGAAAGGGCCTAGCAAAGACCAGCCAGGCTGACCTGTCTTCAATTCACCATCATAAAACTAAATGGGTCCTTGATGCCAGTTCTCGTATCCCCCCCCCCCCTTTCCCAATATTTCCTAGCCTTTTTGCTTGTCCTCTTCTGAGAACTGTCTCATATCTCTGATGGTTCAAATCTCTTCCCTCATTCTTACTCTTTGGTTCCCAGAAAACATGCTGGGAAGCTCTCACTACTACCTCCAGCCACCTTGCAGTATCTGTGCCCATATGTTCTCTTCCTTCTGTTACTATAAGCTAGTGTTCTCAACCAGGGCTGGTTTGGCTCCCAGAGGACGTGTGGTTGTCACACCTGGGAGGCGCTGTTACTAGATAGTAGCCAGGGATGCTGCAAAATGACCTACAATGCACAGAACAGCTTTCCATAACAAAGAATTACCTGGCTAAAATGTTAATGTTATCAAGGTTGAGAAATACCATTAAAAATACTGTCCATAGCCATATACCAGAGACATTTTGTGGGGGGTGGAGTGAGGAATGGGATCAAAAATGGGGGAGGGGGTGCACGGGACTATGGTGATGGCACACGGGTGACTTGGTGATGGGAAATCCATAGGGATTACAATTGAGATTAAAAAAAAATGTACAAAATGATGTAAAAAATAAACATATAAAAAAATAGGTAGATATAGAAAATAAAGACATGCTAAATATAAAAAGATACATTAAGATATAGGTAAATTTAGAAAAAAAAAATACTGTCCATGGGCCCTCCCTGGTGGTGCAGTGGGTTAGCACATCACTAAGAAGTTAAAGCCACTTCAGCATGAGTTTGATCCTCGCCCCAGAGGTGATCCACATGGCGCAGCAGACCTCTCCTGACCTGCCCGCTGCTCCCCTCAGCAGTGTACCTCGACGCTTTGCCTGCTCCCCACTCTGTCTCTAGTGAATCCTCTCACCACCCCTGCACTTCAGGCCTGTACCCCCAGTTCTGTATGCATAAATAAATAAATCTTAAAAAAAACTACTGTCTATACTCCTGTTCAAATTCTTGGGTAGTTGATGCTTTCCTCTGGCCTTTAAGGAGAACTACTAACAATTCTACCTCTATAGCATTATTTTTCCTGGATCTTCATATCAACATACAAATAGGAACAGATAAAAAAGTTGGCGTGGTAGGGTAATGGTGTCAGTTGAACTTTGGAAGGGGAGGGTCAATTTCTAAATTGGAGTCAGAAGAACCACGTCTAGAGACAAGAACATCCACTTCTGGCTTCCCTGCCCCCACACTCCCACGCCTCAGTCCACCTTCCACATAACACAGCACAGCATGTTAGGTGATTTCATCCACTTTCAAAACTGGAGGGCTAGAAAGAAGCTTTGGGTCAGACCCTAAAAACCAGAGGTAGAGAGGAGGGGGCATGTGGGGAAAGGTGATGAGTGAATCCTAGTGTGGGGGATGGAGGAGGAGTACTTATTAAGGATGAAGCCTTCAGCAAGGAGGAGAGTGCACAGGTAGCCTTGCAGATAAAGGTGGTTCTTGCAATGGTATTTTCCCAAAAAGCCAATGACTAGTTATAGTTTATCCTGGCATAACCAGTTTAAGGGGGCTGATCATCATGGGAGGGTCCTAGGAAAAATGATAGCTCCCCCACTCCTCTAAAGAATCAGGGCTGGAGGCCCTGGTGGCACAACAGGTTGGCACACAGCATTATGAAGTAATCTACAGCCACTGTAGCACAAGTTCAACTCCAGCCAGGGATGACCCACATGGCACAGCAGACCTCTCCTATCTTGCCCGCTGCTCCCCTCAGCAGTGTATTTCAGTCCATCTGTCTGCTCTGCTTCCCACTCTGTCTCTGGTGAATCTTCTCACTTATGTACCTCTGGCCTATACCCCAGTTCTTGTATGTGTAAATAAATTTATATATATATATATATTAAAGAAAAGAAACTTCCAATTGTACTGCATCATATTGGGGCCATATTTTCAAGAAAATGCTTCCTACATATGAAAAAAAAAATGGGGTTTTGAAAAGCCCCTCCAGGATTCCTTTTCACTCAGCCAACATCATTACTTCTCTACCCAGTTTTGTGTCAATAACATAAGTTTGTCTCAATAAGGTATTTTGTAAACTAGCCAGGTCCAGGAATGTATAGGACCCTGTAGGATCTGGTGGTCAATTTGTAAATGACTCACAGGACCAGGAGTCAAGAGGTCTTTTCAGAGGAGATTTGAATTAATAAGGTCCCCTGATCCAATGGGAGGTGACCTGAGGTGCTCCCATTTCTCAGCCAGCTCCCCCTGTCTCACATGGGTACCCAAAGAAGTCAGTGACTTACTGACTGGGGTAGGTGAGGTTAGCTGATAAAAGGATCTCACACCCACACACAACACAATCCCCTACTTCGACATGTGTGGCCCCTCCCAGATCTGTCCAGTTCTCAACAACCATCCCCTCAGTCTTCTCACCTCACCTCAATTCCCTTGACTTCCCTGCCCAAGACACTCACTCCAGCTAGCGCACATCCAGAAGGACAGTCATGGTTACTGCAGCCACAACCTGCAGTTTAATTTTAAGCTCCATGTTCATTCAGCTCTTGTCTCCATGCTCCTTCTTGTAAGGCCAGAACTCAGAGGTAGAGTCATAGAGGACTTATTGGCTGATTTGTTATGTCCATCTGATCCTTAAAATGACTTTCAGGGGCTGGATGCACAGAGAGTGCAGAGTCTGCCCTGGTAGTCAGCAGATTTGAGGAAAGGGCACATCAAAGAGGAGGAGGAGCATAGCCCAGAGCAGTTCTGAAAAGACCACTGTGTATAGCCATGGCTACTGCAAAGCAAAGGTGACTGATGGAGCCACCAAGCTCTGGGCCCAGGCTGTTGACAGAGAGGCCTGAGACAGACACTGAAGCTAAGAGCAGGCTCAAGACCTACATGAGACCTGGGTATGGGAGTGAGACTTCTTTAGTTCATTCACGTTCCCTGCATGCATTCCTGCTTCCAGTAGTCCCTGCGCTCACCTGTGCCAGCCTGAGCAGTGAGCCAAGGCAGTAGCAGCAATAGGATAATGCCCCAGATGCTGAGCATGCGATGGGTCTGGGGGGAGCAGGGTAGTGAGGGGGGAAACTAAGGGCATTTCCCCCTTCTGCCTCCCTCAGAAGTACTGTTGGAGAACTTTGGAGTGAAGTCTCTCTCCCCTACTTAGATTCCCAACCGTCGGGAATCCTGAGTTCTAAAAAGTTGCCACAACTCCCACAACCCCGCCAAGGTGCACCCCAGCCTGGCCACACCTGATCTCTGAATTCTCACAGTCTTCTTGGGACCGCAGCTCCCCACCAGGCTCCCCCACAGAGTGGAAGCAGCGCCATCCCCTGGCTGAGTGAACTCAAACAGGCTAAAATGCCAAGGCCCCTCTGTAGCCAGCTCACTAGAAACCAGGAGGATTGCTAACAGAGGTGCTTTGAGAGGAGCTCAGTCTCAGTACTCTAATGGACATTGGGTGATGGCCTAGAACAGCAGGTTTTATTCTAACTTCAGGTCTCTGGGGTATGGGCCACACAGAGCCTCCAGTAAAAAATGGGGGCAATGGGAACCATTGTAGAACCACGGAATTGGCATCGTAGTGGGGGCCAGTGATCTTCTGCTTGTTTTGCATATGCTGAAGTCCAGGTTTGTCTTTTCTAAGCGTTAGTTCCTCCTCTTGGTGGTAGGCCATAAGGTGCTGGATGAGTTGTGTGCCTTCAGGGAAGCCATGAGAAAGAACTGAAATGTCTGAACTGAGAAATGAGAGAGCAGAGGCTGGTCACTATCACCTTTTTGCTGGCCAGAGGCTGCCTCTCTATTACCTATTTGGGTTGTGCAGCCATGAACTGGGGTCCCCCAAGTTAGCTCCCACAACTGAATACTACCCAGGGGTTGGCAGGGATACCCAAGTGACTAGTAGAAAGCTGGGGACAGTCAAAAGTCAGAGGGCACGCTGTGCAGAGCAACCCACCTGCCCCCCACAGGAGTGTCACTGCTATCATTAGAGTGGAAACAGTCCTGTTGTGCCCCATGCACTTACCCATCCACAACCAGCCTTTTTTGTTGACCTCCAGGGGGTCCACTTCCAGCAGCTCTTGGCCTGTTCTTCGTACACCCCTCCCTGTGGGGATACCAGGAATTGAAGCAAAACGTGATGGCCCTATTTAAGGGTCTCAGGATGGCGAAAGAGGCATTGTCCCTGCAGGGGGAGTGGCTGTTGGTGGCCTGCCTGATGTGAATGCTCCTGGCTGCCTGCATCCAGTCTGGGACTCCGGTCCTCAAGCAGCGGACACCAGCTCCTGCTTTCCAACTGTCTGGTCTGCATCTCATCGACCTAGGTGAGGGCAAGACTCCTCCATACTCTTCTGAAAACACAGGACTGGTTCCTGCTGTCTCACAGAACCCAGCTCAGAGGGGATGGAGATGGATATCTAGAGACCCACTGTGGCCTCTTTATCCCCCCACCCCTGGACGGCTCCTATCACTTTTCATGTCCATATAGTTCGCTCCAGGCTCTCAGCTTTATCTTGCACGGAAAAATCAACAAAGCCCTTGAACTGACAAAGAACAGCCTTCACGGTTCCTCCCGCTGGCCGGCTCAGTCCGCCCCCTCCTGGCGAGTCTGGTGAACTCAGCCCTCCCCACCCGGCTCTCTCCACTGGCTGGAGGTGTCCTCCTTGGCTTCCGAATTTGTCTCGCTCAGCACCCAGACATGACCTACAGGTGGAGGGCGAGGGGAGGGGGAGGTCGTCCGGGGACGGGGCCTAGGGGATTGGGCGTCTGAGATACGGCACCCGAAGCCCAGCCCCTAGTCTGCTAGGGTCTGCTATAATTAGCCGGGTGCTGCCCTGACTGGGATGCAGGGCACAGTGCCCTCTGCCACCCGATCAGAAGTAAGCAGGCTCAAGTGAGAAGGCAAGAGGAACGCTGGTGGCTGGTGTCTCGGGAGGGTGATTATCCGGATGGGGGCAAGGTGGGCGGGAGGTACCGCCCTGGGTACCGGATCTTTCACTTGGTGAACCCCACAGTCTACCTGCTAGCGGGGCTCGTTTGGAGAGAAGGGGCCTTGAAGTAGGGAGGAGAACTGACGTTTTACTAGGCTGGAGGCAGGGGTTCTGTTTTTGGCCAGTCCAGGTCCACTCTGACTGTTTTCTCTTTCCTGTGCACATCTCCAACAATCCAGACTACCTGGGCCATGAGTGTCTCCGACTCCTTACCTTCTCTTTCGGACTCTGGGCGCGTGTCCCATCCAGTCCAGAAGGACGGCCTTGACCTCCCTTTATCAGTCCGGAGCACCCCCTCCTGGCCTCCATCCCCGGAAGAGGACCCGGGTTTACCCCCTTTTCCCCTGCAAGAGCGTGGTCTCAGGCCCATGGCCCCAGGGAACCTTCCCTGGCCAACCGTGTCCCTAGAGGAGGAAGAGGATGGTGACCAGGCTGCGGAGCCCGAGGGGTTGCACAGTGAGGAGCACCCTATCCAGTTTTTCGCCGAGGCACAGAGGCTACGGGAGCAAAAGTTGTTGCTGGACGAAGAGGTGTCTGTCCGCGGGCGAGTGTACGGTGTGCATCAGGTCATCTTGGCTGCGGTTAGCAGCGTCTTCAGAGCCAGGCTGCTGGACGGCGGAGGTTCTCCAACCCCGTTCATCCTAGACGTGGCCCCCGGGGGCTGGGAGGCCGTGCTAACCTTTGCTTATGAGGGGGTCCTGGGTCGCGCCCCTAGGGCGGATGTGCTGGTTGCGGCTGAGACCCTGGGAGCCCCGCGCGTGAAGGTCGCAGTCCAGCGGAGACACGGTGGGTTTGGAAGCGCCCAGGAAGATGAAATGCAGTCCAGCCAGGCGGAGGAGCTGAGGAAGAATCTGCGCAGCATCGAGCTTCTATACCAAGAGGGCATTGGGTGTGACCTGGACCTGGAAGCCGATGGCTGTCGGCTGCGAGGTGAGAGCCTATGGGGCATTTCATTACTCGGGTGCCTGAGCCACCAGAATGTGTGTGCTGACAGCGGTTAGCTTACTCTCCACTGTAGTGGTTTTGATCCTGCTGAGTCAGAATCTCCCTGGGGTAGTCTCTGGGGACTCACCTGGCCCGAGAGCGGGACATGCGCAGTTGGGTTGTTTTCAGTCTACTGACAGATGTATAAATTGACCCTCAGTGCTCTAGCCTTTCCTGTGCCCAGAAATGAGGAATTTCTAGCCAGCTGGCTGGAGCTCAGCTCACAGTCCATGCCAGTAGAACAAGTGACTGACTTAAACAGGGATTAACCAAAAGTCCTTGGCATCTCCCCTTTGGGAGAGAGGAACTAGACTGAAAAACCCAATGTGTCCTTTCTCCTAAGTATGCGGGACAGCAATGAGAAAAGTCCAGTATTGTTTTGCTAGAATCTTAAGGTATTTTGAAGTTTTGATAATTTGAAGATAATTTTGCTCATCGCCAGGAAAGCTAAAGAGAGCTGAATCAGTTGAGTAGTATTATTCTATTAACATTTGGGTACTAGGATTTTTTTTTTTTTACATTTACACTATATTTTATTTCTAAGTATTTTTAAAAATAATATAATAGTTTGTTTTTACATCATTTTGTGCCTTTTTCCATCTTAGTTGTAATCTCCATGGGCCTCTTATCACCAAATCACCAGGGTGCCATCACCATAGCTCAGTGCACTTCCCCCCCCACACCCCCATCTTTGACCCCACTACCCACTCCACCCCTGTAAAATATCTCTGAAATATAGTTGTTCGTTATTATTATTTTCTCACCTGGTCCTTTATACTCCTGCTGCGAGTGAAACCATCTGGCATTTTCTTTTTCTTTCTGGCTTATTTCATTAAGCATGATCTTTTCCAGCTCCATCCATGCTGCTGCAAAAGGCATGTGTTTATTACTATTATTTTGGTTGCTGAGTAATATTCCATTGTGTATATGTACCACATCTTTTTAATCCAGTCATCTATATTTGGGTATTTGAGTTGATTCCACATTTCCCCTATTGTAAATAGAGCAGCAATAACCATTGGGGTGCAGATGTCCTTTTGAATCAGTGTTTTTGTGTCCAATGGGTAGATACCTAGGAGTGGGATTGCTGGGTCATATGGAAACACCATGTTTAGCAGTTTGAGGAACCTCCAAACAGTTTTCCATAGTGGTTGTACTAGTTTGCATTCCCAGCAGCAGTGCAGGAGAGTTCCTTTCTCTCCACATCCTCGCCAACATTTGTTGTTGCTAGTTGTTTTAAGATGTGCCATTCTCACTGGGGTGAGGTGGAGGTACCAGAAAGTTTTTACACATATCTTTTCTTTTTTTCAACTCCTACTGAGAACTAGTAAGGTAAAGAACATTCAACTCAGAGATGTTAACTGATGAGGACCAGGATACTTGTCCCTGGCCCTAGTCAAGTCTGGTCAGGGTAGGCTGTGAATTGATTGCCTCTCTCGCAAGCATACCAAAGACACATAGGACCTGAAAAATGGACTCGGAATAGAGACAGATACAAGTTTAAAAGTGAAAGGGATTTGTTTATAGTTTATCTATTTTGATTTACTTATCTATTTATTTATTTATAAGAACTGGGGTGAGGCCAGAGGTGTGGGGTATGAGAGGATTCACCAGAGACAAGAGTGGAGAGCAGTGGGCAAGACAGAAGTCTGTTGTGCCATATGTGGGTCACTGGCTGGGTATCAAACTCAGGCCATAGCAGTGATAGTGTGATAGCTCTGGGACTTACCCCTATGCTGCCAGGGAGGCCTCTCTCTTATACTTTCTTGATTAAAAGTCAGACTTCAAGGCATGTCCATAGTCATATCACCACCGCTCCTTAGAGGAATCATCAGGACCGAACACTTCCAGAGTGTCTCTGAAGGGACAGCATCCTGTCCTAGTCAGCCAGGGTCTCTATAACAAAAAGAGCATAAATAGGGTGGCTGAGCAACAGAAATTCTTTTCTCTAGTTCTAGAGGCTGGCAGTCCAAGGTGTAGGTGGCCCCATTGTCAGCTTCTGGAGAGAGCTGTTTTCCGGGTTGGCAGAAGACTACTGTTAAAGTAGCCCCTTATGATGGAGAAAAAGAGATTATCTCTCATGTCTCTTTTTATAAGGACATTAACCCATTCATGAGGGCTCCACCCTAATGGCTTAATGACCCTCCCTAAAAGTCCCACCTACAAGTGCAATGTTGGAGATTATTTGTTCAACATATGCATTTGGGGGTGACATAGTATTCAGTCTACAGCAGATCCCTAAAGCGTTCATTATTATTTCTGACAGCAGTAGATACAGAAACAATTTAAGATCTCACCATTAAAAATTCTCAATAGGGCTTAGGATTTAATCAGACTTATATTTTGCTCCATTTCCCTAAGAAACATTTCAATTTGACAATGGGAACCTGTCTGTTACAATACTAAGGGATATAGGCCCTCCCTGGTGGCACAAAGGGTTAAAGCACAGAGCTGTGAAGTTGTCTGCAGCCACTAGAGTATGAGTTCGATCCCCAGCTAGGGAGGTGACCCACATGGCATGGCAGACCTCTCCTGACCCTCCCACTGCTTCCCCCCCGGCAGTGTATTTCAGTCATTCTTCCTGTTCTGCTTCCCACTCTATTTCTGGTGGATCCTCTCACTCCCTGCTCCTCTGGCCTGTACCCAAGTTCTTGTATGCATAAATAAACAACTCTTTGAAGAAAAAAAAAAACTCCTAAAGGATATGATAGTCAGAGATTGGAATACAAGTAGTGTGGCCGCTTTCGAAACTGGGTCTGTGCTATGGGTTGACTGATGCTGTGGGAGCTGAGATGGCTCACCTTCCTCGAGGAATACAGATTTTTTCAGGCCATAGAGATTTGAAAGCTATCATTGGGAAGCTACCTACTTCCTAACAAGACGATGGAAAGCGTTTCAACATCGCCTGCCTTTGAGAGAGGTGAGCAAGGTGCACAATTATGGTTACAGCAGCCCGAGGCGCCTCAGCCTCACTGCCCCACCATACCCTGACACAACAGCCCTTGTGCCACACACAGCTTTGGTTCCCATCCAGGAATGAACCCAACCCACTGGGTGAAGGGGAAGAGCTGTGGGTTGGGGGAGGAAGGGGAAACATAAGGGAAAGACAGAGAATATACAGGGAGAAAGGGAAGGCTTTATTCATTTGATTCTCTCACAGCTCTTTACAACCCCTAAACTGCTTTTGTACATGTACCACTCCGGGTCCCTCTCTGCTTCTCTTGCAGTGCACCGAGCAGCCCTGGCCTGTGGCAGTGAGTTCTTCGGCGCCATGCTCCTGAGTGGGATGAGAGAATCCCAGGGCACCAAGGTGTCCCTGCACACCATCTCTGCCCAGGACCTGCGACTCCTCGTCTCTTTTGCCTACTCCGGGGCTGTGAGGGCAAAGTGGTCAGGCCTGCTGAGAGCTGCCCAGGCTGCTCTGCAGTACCAGAGCGCTTCCTGCCTGGCCCTGTGCCAGAGAGCCTTGGCACGAAGCCTCAGCCCTGCTCGTTGCCTCGCCCTGTTCCCCATGGCTGAAGCTCCTGGCTTGGAGAGGCTCTGGAGCAAAGCCCGTCATTACCTCCTCACCCACCTGCCTGCTGTGGCTTTGTGCCCCACTTTCCCTTCTTTGCCTGCTGCCTGCCTGGCTGAGCTGCTGGATAGTGATGAGCTACATGTGCAGGAGGAGTTCGAGGCCTTCCTAGCTGCCCGGTGTTGGCTAGCTGCCAACCCCGAGACCCAGGAGTCAGAGGCCAAAGCCCTGCTTCAGTGTGTCCGCTTTGGCCGGATGTCCACCAAGGAGCTGCGGAGGGTGCAGGCGGCCGGTTTGCCTCCACCCCTTCCCTCAGACATGCTCCGTCAGCTGATAGTGGAGTCTGAGGTTCCAGGTCAAGAGAGGCGGAGGGAGCCAGACCAGGCTCTGGTGGTGATTGGCGGGGATGGGCTCAGGTCAGACATGGCTGTAAGACAGCCATCCCCAAAAGTGTGGTGGGCTCGGGCCTTTTGCTGTGGCACAGGACTGGTTCGAACTGTGGAGTGGGGGCGGCTGCCCACCCTGCCTGCCCCTGGACGCTTCAGACACGGGGCTGCCACCCTAACAGGAAATGAACTATATGTGTGTGGGGGACAAGATTTCTATAGCAACTCCAGCACCCTGGCCTCAACTCTCAGGTATGAGCCCCTGAGGGTGGGCAGCTGAGGGAAATTGCTGGCCCAGCCAACCACAGACGATCAGGTCACTCTTCCTATCTTTTGTCCCACTGTGTCCAGGTGGGACCCCAGTCAGGAGGACTGGGAAGAGATGGCGCCTCTGTGCCAGGCTCGCTGCTTTTCCCCCCTGGTGGCCCTGGATGGTCTACTTTATGCCCTCGGTGGACGACACAATGGCATTGCCCTCAACTCAGTGGAGGCCTATGACCCTGAGCTCAATGTCTGGAGGTGAGCAAGGAAGGGGGCATCGGGGAGACACTAGGGGACCTGGAACAGGAGGGGTGAAGATTGCTGTTACCTGATTGTGTGTCTGTTCTCCCCCAGGCCAGCACCTGCACTTCCAGTACCATGCTTTGCTCACGCCGCTGCTGTTTTGGAGGGTCGATTGTATGTGAGCGGTGGCTGTGATGGGACTGACCAGTTCCTGGCCTCATTGCTGCACTATGACCCCAAACTTGAGAAACCTGGGACATTTCTGTGCCCTATGGGGGTGCCTCGAGCTGGTCACGTTATGGCTGCTCTGGGTGGGCGCTTGTATGTAGCAGGCGGGCTGGGTGTGACTGGGGATCTGCTGAGCTTTGAGGTCTATGAACTAAAGACTGGTAGCTGGACTCATCTGGCCCCCCTGCCCTCCCCCCATGTGGGAGCTGCAGTTGCCGTGCTGGAGGGAGAGCTGCTGGTGCTGGGGGGCTACAGCCATCGCACTTACGCCCTCTCCCACCTTATCCATGCTTACAGTCCTGGCCTGGCCAGGTGGCTCTGCCTGGGGGCCCTGCCCCGGCCTCGGGCAGAGATGCCTGCCTGCATCCTGACACGACCCCCTGTGCAGCACACCGCTGTGGTTCCCAACCGGCACCAAACCAAACCTGCTGGCTGAAGGGGAACCCAGACTGGGGACCAGAAGGGATAAGAAACATCACGAGAGAAAGATGGAGCGTATGAGGGAGAAAAAGAAGGCTTTATTCACATAGTAGTTGATTTTCACAGTGTTTTACGACTCCTGAATTGTTTTTGTATATAGGATCTTCATGGAGAAAAAGGTGTTGCAGAGCTCCCGGGAAAGGGGGGACAGGGCATAAAATCCTAGGTACAGAAAGACTCATGAGCAACTCCACAAGGTTAAGGAACTCCTGTGACATGATTCTTCAGTACTTTGTAAGGAAAGTGCCTTTGCCTGGGAGAATGGTCAAGAAGCTCCAGTAGTTAGGGGGGACTGTCCATGAGAAAACAGCTGCAAGTTGATGATTAGCCAGGGGTCAAGGAGAAAAATGTGAAAGGCCATCCATGAAAAAGTCTGAGGAGTGTGGTGGAGAGATTGTGATGCTCAGCCCTCCCCTTCCTCTCCAGGATTTGCTCTTTGCCACTCTCCAACGGCAGACACACCTCAAGCCCCTTGACAATATTCTTTTCCAGGTAGCCTAGCGTCCACCAGCCCAAACACCACAGACTGCCCCCCCCCCCGAGCTTCTGCGCTCTCAGGTCAAGGCAGAAGACCAGGTGACATTGGGGGTGTGCCATATGTGGGGTGGAGAGAGGGGACGGGTGGAATAAATCAGAACCTGACTGGCTCCTTTCCTTCCCTTTGAGGTACACTGAGGGATTAGGAGTGAAAATAGGGCAGTTAAGCTGTGAGGTCCACAGTTGTGAAAGGAAGTGGCGGAAAGATGGGTGAGAGGCAGGGGAGAGTCAGAAAATTGGTGTTTCCTCTTTCCTCCAAAGTTTTTAAATTCAGTTCCCTTTTTCTTGGCCAGAGAAGGTTGAGCCTGATGCTTCCTATCCTCTTCCTCCACCCTACTCTGCTTTCTTCTTCTTTTTTTTCCTTGTCTCCTTTCTCCTGCAGTTGTTAAATTCCTACTTTGTGCCAGGCACTGTGTGTGAGGCACTTAAGATACACAGGCAGAGAGTTCCAGACCCGCAGATAGACATGTACACAAATATGAATCTTGCAGTGGACATACAGTTATGGACAAAGTCTATGAGAGCCTGGGAGGTGAGGAGTGAGTGACCACCACCCAGAATGGCTTCTGATAGGGAAGGCCTCATCAAATGGGTGTCTAGGATCCCTTCGGAGATCTTGTGCAATAAAGTGAATGTCACAGTAAGTTGAATCACATGAACATTTTGCTTTCCCAGTACATATACTTACACTCTTTAGTAGCCTGTTAAGTGTGCCATAGTAGTAAATATTAAAAATGAACAAGGTACACATCTTCATTGAATGTGACACAGAGACATGAAGTCAGCACTTGCTGCTGGAAAAACAGCACCGATGCAGAGATCCACAAACCTTCCATTTGCAAAAAAACACAGTATCTGCCAAGGGCAGTGAACCGAGGTATGCCCTTATGAACGGATCTTGAAGGCTGCCTAGAACTCACCCAGCAGAGGAAGAAGGTATTCCAGTTTAGAGAAAAGAAGCCTGGGGGCATGGAATGTGCTGTGTGTTCATAGCACGGGGAAGTCAGGGGCTAGAGGTTGTCCAGAGAATTCTGCTGGGGTTGCCAGCCTACCCTCTTCTCTAGAGGCTTTCTGAGGACAATGGCTTTCTTGTGACAAGTGTATATCCCCTCCCTCACCGGTGCTCCCAAATCTGGCATTAAAACATTTCTGACGCTGGAGCAGCATAGGGCAAAGAAGTACCAGTTCTTTGTACAGGTCAATTTCCCATTGCCCTAGCTTATTGAGATTCTCCTGTTCATAAGGGGGAGACAAAGGCTTCTCCCTTGTATCTTTCTTTATACTTCCCTGGAGTATTTGACACACACACACACACACACACACACACACGCACATTAGATTTGATTGTTTTATTAAGGTTTTTTCTATATCTTTATTTACAGACATAATTGAGGAAGGATAGTTAGGATATTTGAAAGGCAACAGAAGAAAGATTAAAGATAGGAATGAAAGAAATGGGATGTATGAGACACTGAGGATTCAGTCTTAAGGGTGAACATGTTCTTTGTGGGTTGTGTGCAAAGACAGGCTTAAATAAAGGTTTCATCATGGTTGAATCATTCCTCATTTCCGTTTCTCTATTGTAAAAAGCTTCTATTTCCATTAAACTATGGAAACCACCCCCCTCTGCTATTACCTCATGAAATCTAATGATCTAAGGCCATCTTCGTTTTTCTTCATTTTTCTGCAGGAACTGACTAGCTTGAAAGCTGGCTCTTACCCTAAACACTTCTCCCTCCCTGGCACCAAAGACAGTACACTCTTGTATTTGCTCTTCTTTCTCCAATCCAAAGAGGATACAGACTGTCAAACCATAGCAAACCATAGCATCGGGGAGTGTGGCACCTTCTAGGTGACAGCCAAGGGCCTGAAAGCATGCAGATGGGTAGTTAGCTGCAGAAGCTTTCATTATTTAGAGTGAAAATTGAAGACAGAAAAAAAACAGGTGAGTAAAAAGTCACATGAAAATCATACTAGCAGCAAAATCAACTATCATTACTTGTCCAGAGAGATAGTCCAGGCTGCAGAAGTAGCAATGTCCAATAAATAGAGTACAAAAATGCACAGACTGTTTAATAGATTCATGAACAAAAAGCTTCTGCAGATGATTTATCCTGAGCCCTTCTAAACACAGTGCAGAAAGTGAAGGTAAGTGGTTCCTTCTGGATAGTGAAGAGGAAGGTTCTCCTGAGAGCAGTCTCCAGGTGACTCAGGGGCCAAGAGGCTGTCTGGCACAAGCATCACAGGACAGAAATAATTACTTTTTTAGGTCCACAGACTATGTTCCAAATCCTGGTTCATCCTTGGAGTCAAACGGTCATAGATGAAAAAGTGAATTTATCACAAATTTTAAAATACAATTTCAAAAAAACAAATATGTACATATACACATAAGCATATCTATACATGAGAATACATGTATATGTCATTAGTGGAGAGAATATAGTTTTTTGCCTCTGATAGATATTCACAGTATCATTATTATTATATTTATGAGTAAAGTCACCATAATCTTTATTTCTGATTAGAATAATGAAAAATATATAGCTTGAAAAGGTACTGAGTTAGAATCAATAACTGTTCAAGTCTCAAGTCCATTGTTGCTTTAGTCATCAGGAGGAAGTCACTTAATCACTTTGAATGTCAATGTCTTAATCCACAAAATGGGATAACACCTATATGTAAATACTGTAGTGTTTTTATAGTCATGAGTCCCAGAGTCATTTGGAAATGAGCCCTAGTGACCTATCCATCAGGTTTCCAAGTCACATCCTTGTAGATCAGAGACAGATACTGCCAAATAATGTGGTCACAGTGCCGTAGTGACAGGTCCCTGAGCTCATGAGCGCCATAAAGGGCAGCACAAAGTTTATGCCCAGCTACTTCATTCTAACATTGCTCCTGAGGTGCAGATTCATCTGGAATCCAATGAGGCCAACACATTTAGGGAGCTAGATGTCTCCTAACTTGACTTTCACCAGATAGGCAATCTAAACTTTTCAAGCAAATGCTGAAGAAAACCAACTCTCTCATAATAGAGTGAGGACTGCTTTACTGTTTTAGATTATATCTAACATTATTTAAGCACTTTCTATGCACCAGGCAGTATGCTAAGAGCTTTATATACATTATCTCATTTAGAAAACAAAAGCTTAGAGGAGTGAATTTACTTACCTAATTTCTTATAGTTATTAATATTGAACATGTATTTACACTCAGAGGTCTTCTGAGTTGGCTTCTTTATAATGCCATCTCTCTAATGTAGAGTCTCTCTCTATGGAATGACGAATTTTATACTTGCACCCTACAAGAGAAAGCAAATAGTGGTTACAGTTAAAGGGTGTATTGCAGATATAAGTTGAGAAGGCTAACATCTAACTTCAAGAATGAATATGTTCAGCCAGAATAAGGGGTTCTTTCTTTCAACAAAAAGCTTTTTAAAAGATTTATTTATTGGCCCTCCCTGGTGACGGCACAGCGGGTTAAATTACAGCACAAAGAAGCTTAAGCCACTTCCGCATGAGTTCGATACCCGCCTGCCCGGGAGGTGACCACATGGCGAGGCAGACCACCTCCTGGCTTGCCCACTGCTCCCCTCAGCAGTGTACTTCCTCAATCTGCCTGTTCTGTTCCCCACTCTGTCTCTGGTGAATCCTCTCACCTTCCGCATCGCTGGCCTGTACCCCAGTTCTGTATGAATAAATAAATAAATCTTTAAAAAAAAACACACTTCAATAAAGAGGTGAACAAAGAGCATATAATGGAGAAAGGAAAAGTCTTTGTGTTAATAAATGGTTGGGGAAACTGGACAGCAACATGCAAAAGAAATGAATGAAGCCAGAGAGCCATCTTACACCATATAATCAAATTAATTCATACAGCAAAATTAATTCAAATTAATTCAAAAGGGAAATGAAAATTCTCAGGTCCTATCCCAGACATACTGAAATGTGGGTTCCTATGAGCTGGTACTAGCTGGCCACTCATGGGTAACTGTAACCTATTTTGCTATCTACAATCACAACAGAACATTCTTTGACTACCTACAGAATACAGCTCATGTCACGAGGCAGGCCCAGGGTTGCCTAGGCAGCTGCTGACCTGATGACGTGAATATCTCCATGGTGGTCTTGGGATCATTCTGCCTGTAATAGCAACGTACTTTGCTGACGCAAATGTCTCTTGATGTTCCCTTCCCTGTCCCTTTGCAAAACTTTGTCCTTCATTTTTTTCCTACCCTCAGGACCCTATTCCTCATACCAGTGTCATATGATCAGCTTTTACGAACCTGTATGCTTTCAATAAACGGCACAAGAACTTCTGCCCACATAACAGAGAGTTGACTTGCAAACCTGCTCCACAACTGCTGTGTCCCCATGGCAACAAATTCCTGTGACAACACTGAATCAGTTAGGGGTGGCTTTGAGACTAGACCTGGTTTTATTTATTT